TGTGGCCTTCGCCCCGAGTTTCTCTGTTCCATACCAGTCTGTTCATCTGTTTCATCTTGTTGCTACTCTAACCTGGCGACTTCATCCCCATTGCCCTCAACCATTCAATCTCAGTACAGTCTAAACGTCAGTTACAACTTCATCCCGACGTCCATCCTTGGACGGACCTTCAACTACCATCATCCCGTTGATCAATTTGTGAAGATCGGTTGAATGGGTCGTCTCAGTGTGGGGGACGTGATACAGTCTTTTGTTGCTCAAAATTTGGCAGTTATTATTTGGTAGAAGGCAGTAGTACACGTTGTGCTTTCCGCGCCTTCAGTGGTGAACTTCTGGGTTAGTGATTTCTGTTTCCAGTAAATTCTACCGCACTCATATTCGTCTGAATCGATGGCATGGATGGATAAGGATGATGGAGGACTGTGCCATCGGTTGCATGTGCTTATTTTCCTTTGCAACTTGGAGGGAGTGGAGCTAAACACAGTCATTTGATGATGGCATTTTGCCTTTTCCACCTTCGACAGTTGCCATCAAAGAGTCCCCCAGTTACAACACCTCACGTCGGCCTACGGTGAATGGTCCACGGGGTGCTGTTGCCTACACAATGCTGCACCGACCGTCATCCTCCTGTGCCATCGCAGATAACTTGAGCCTCTGCCAAGGCACACTCTCACCATCCGAAAGCCTCTTCTCCGCCGATCGAGTCTCCGTGACCAGTTTCAATGGCGTCAATTCCTCCACTGCTTCTGTTGCGCAGAGCCGCTCGATGCAAAACATCCACCGGTACTTGAACGAGGATGTGATGCCAAATCCCATGAAACAGTTGCAACAGCTTGCTGGAACTCCGCGAACAAGAAGATCCAACCTGTACAATGGTGAGTCATTGTCTCCAGTTGTACTCACGGCCCATTCAAGCGGACCTTCTCTTTCTTTCATCCATCTACCAGTAAATTCATGCATTTAAGAAGTTCCGTTCCCACATCGGTCTCTGCCATATCCGCCCATCCATTTACCTGGTGTCTACTCATAACTTTTCATGACTTTTAGTTCGTAATCTTTCTTGCAAGTGATTCAAAAAATCCGCTCCCTTTTTGACCTTCTCCAATACGCAAGCTAAACACCGAATTTCGCTACAAGTATTTTGGCTTTTTTTACCAAATTTTCCCACCTCTTCTGTGTTTTGCTAGTTTAACAAGATGTGTAACTTCAAAAAACGCCGAAAATGAATGTTTTTTTGCGGCGACTGCAGTGACTCTCAGAGGCCTTTTAGTGCGGTGCTGCGACAGAGGCAGTGTTGTGTAAACTGAAAGAGATAAAAAGTGTTTGGGTTAATGGGTTTGACCATATTTCTGCCGTTTGTCACCTCACCCCACTGAAGTAGTCCATCAGCAACGGCCAACTCCAACGCATCTCGGAAGGTGATTTGTATTTTCAGATGCGATGCCACGAAACACAGCCTCTTCCCACGAGGAGGGTGTCAGCTATGCCCTCAGGTGAGGCACATCAAACGCCTCGTCAGTGCGCGTTGGCATTGGCACCTGTTTTGACACTTTGTCGGTCTTTACCCCAGGCAAACGCCTTTTAACCTTGCCACATGCAAATAGAGTCGATGAGTTGACGAATTTATGGGGGATTCAAATGGTCTGGTCTTAACGGATAGCTATCCGCCTTACCGGTGATCAATCAGCGGTATCTTGCATCATAAAAAGGGTTTCTTCTTGTCCAATTGTACCAGGTAGTACAAAAGGCAGGGATTATTCACATCTTCGTCCCAACTGGCCTCGCCTGTAGTAGGAAGTTATGCTTTAATTAATCACAGCAGAAATTAACCGGACATGAGTGGATTTGCCGTATGACTTTTATTTTCTCACACCATTGAGACAGAAATCATCTGAAGATAGAGACAAAATCACCTGTGAGAAAGGAGTATACACGCTATGCTTCGCCGCCATTCTTCTCGCGTTGCACGAAGAGGCACCTCGTTTGATAGCGCACTCGAATGAGGCGTGAACTCGTACCGTTTCCATTACGATTCCCCAAGATGAAGTTATTGTTAAGCCTTTCACGAGTCATCGCTTTGGCACAAATGCGTTGTACAGCAGCTCTCCACACCTTTGTTGATCCACCCAATGAAACGACAAAGGCACTTGCAAGATGAGCTAAAAATGGACCATTTTCAGCCGCTTTCCAGTAACTATGGCTTAGCGTGGCACTACTATTAAAGATTGTCTTTAAGTTGACCGCATTGGCCGTCCACCCACACGTGCATAGGTTTTATCATTTGTTACTTATTTATCGTAACAAATATTTTGTACATTTTAAGACCCACAACGCAAGATTTCGGCTCCTA